GAGAAGGATGAATATCATGGAAAGTGATCAATGATACGGGATAAAGATTTTGTGTTGATAAAGAGACTCAATGCTGACGGAATGAAGAGCATTGAAGAGGATACTTATGGATGTTGTTAATAATGTTGATGGTGGTGATATTGCATGATGATTATATTGTTTAAGGTGAGAGGTTATTGCGCGTTGGGTTGTTCACACCCGAAATGAACGTAAGTAATTGTGAAAATGGCGATTGATTTGTGAGAGATACCCACAGGGTTGGTTAACGCCTCAAGGGAGTGAGAATCATAATGAGTGGATTGTTGAAATCTAATGGAATGCACTTAGCCTCGTTGGTTACCACCTCATAAATCGAGTGAGGATTACACTCATGATTATGGTTGGGATGATATTGCGAATCGATTTGCTCAGTTCAAATCGACTGTTTCAAATGAGCTAATTCACAAAGTTGTGTAAGTTAAGTGTAGTTTTGCTTACAACTAGATTTTGGAGCTTTTTTTGGAATTTTTGAGGTCATTGTGCAACTATTTGAACAATTTTTTTCTGGCCATTCAGCAGTGCCATTCTCATTTATTCGGGACCTGGACACACCGTCGCTTGAGCAATCGATTCCAATGATCGAATGAAATCAACTGACCTTTCGATGAGAAGATTTCACAATATTGAACGAACTGCAAATATGTGATGAATTGTTTCAAAAGATTTCAAGTGTTTGAAGTTTAAGTGCTGCGAATCATTTAATTTCGAGCCTTTATGAATCGAAATGGGGTTGAGGTCATTGATGGGGCTTTGAGTAGATGAAATGATCGCCACACTTATCATATGTATCATTATATTAGATTGTCATTGAACTTGAAGCTAGTCGATATGAACGTTCAAGAGGGAAGATGCAATGAGAGGAGCCATTTTTAATTGAAACTGAGCATCCATCGTTCATTTTAACAATATTGTTGTGAAAATTTTAGACGATTATTTGATCGAGTTACAATATTCTTGTATCAGATTTCTCATCACCAAGTACATTTGCTAATGAAAAGTGGTCATTTTATTGAATTTCTTAATAATTTGTTTTTTGAATTCATTTTATGTCATGATATTGGAATGCGTAGATGATTGGGATCGTTTGCCGATGAATTCATTGCGACTGATACGGAGCATACTTAAGCTTAAAGTATGCGGTGTCATGTTGGAATGTTCATAACGTAAAGAAATTTTGAAATTTTTCCCTTGAAAAATACTTATGATTGGTTTCCGGCACTGCATTGCTGTAAAGGGTGTGTTCGTTGAGTAAAAAAGTATTGAAGAGTTTTTCGCTCCAACGCTGTTACGTGCTCGATAGAAACAAGAAAGCAGGCAGATAGAAGCAAGTAGAAGGTTCTTATCAAAGCGCTATCATAGTCTTATACTTTGTGGGTCATAACACACAACTTTATCAGTTGCTATCACTGATAATGCCGACACGTATTATGGATGATGGCTCGTTGGGTACAACTCGTTGCTCATGTCACAAGTATTTTCGTATTGAACAGTCATATCAGTGGACAAAGTCTAGTGCATTACAAGCATCATTTCTATCACATGCATTCGACAATACGAAACGAGCACATTGATCAATACACTGTGACGTTGATCACCGTCAGTCCTCAGATTGACAGTATAAACAACTGTTCAAACAAATCTGGTACTCTATCTGCCACGAATCCACATCTATGCCTATCGGATGATGATAATACGATAAATAGTAACATCAGTAATAATAACAATGATAATAATAATATTATAATGATAAAGGTAATATAATAATGGTAATGATAAAGATAATAATGGTAATAACAATAATAAGAATAATGGCAACATTGATGATAGTAATAACGAAGACGCTGACAACAAAATACGGTTTGCTTAAGCCGTCGGTATTCTCATGGTCCTTGAGGGACATGAGATGAAAATATAAAACTGTGATTAAGAAGTAGTTGATGATGAAATTGATGCCCAGCTATCATACACTATCATATTCTCGCTTATCACATCTTATCGTTTGAGGCAGAGGTCAAGTTCTGAGAAAGCGTAACGGTTCTGAGGACAAGATCAGTATGGAACTCATAAATGCNGAAGGTAGACGTTCAGGAGCACAGCTGAATGGCTGAACAACAATCACGGATGACGAAGGAATAGTTTTGTTTGATGCCAATGCTGCTGCATGAATATTTGCGTTTGTCACAAGCATAAACTATCTGAACGAAAGTGGCAATCAACTAAAAAACGTATTTATCTACGCCAATGAGTAAATAAAGAATAATACTAATAGTCGATTCAATAGACAGATAATTACTACGCCTAAAAAGGTGTCAAAAGTTTGATAATAGTAATAACCATACTAACAGTAATCGATCGCAGAGACTAAATTCAAATATTTACTCAGTAAATATTATATCAAAGTTGATTTGGTTGTCGTGTGCAAAGTGTGTGTTCATTTATCTGTTTACATAATTGTTTATTCACTAATTTAATTGTTTAATTAGACAAAACATCCGCACCGTTCCTCTTTTATCACATATTTACAAGTATTTGGGATTACCAGTTGGATTATGAATAGCCGTTCAAACATATCGTATGAAACGCATAAGATTAAGTATATCCTCGTTCGTTTCAGTGCGATAAACGTTTTGCTGAAAGTGTTTTGATCTTCACAGGTCACTTCGTGATGCATGAAGATGACTATGTCTATGGTTAATGTTGAATAGATGATGACT